GTTAAAATATATGTTTATTAAATAAAGTCTAATGTTACAACTAATCGGGGATCCCTTTAAGGCTTGTTCTGCTCCCCGTTCACATCCAACTAAACATTTTTCACATTCAATATTTTTCAATAACATTTTGAATGTGGATTGTCCAGGTCAGTCAATCATCAAACCATATTCCCATTATTTCCTGATTCATTTTCTTTGTAAAAAGTATTACTTTTGTTTTATCAACAGAAAATATAAAGCTCAATTTATAAGACCATTGCTTGCATTCTGTACCTTTATAATATGAAGTGCAACATTTTTTTCTACTTGTCCATTTAGCACAATCATCAGCAAAAAGAGAGCAGCCCATTTAATTCCCAATTTCTTTAAACATTTCTCATAACTGAAAACAATAACAGACTTACTATACTACCTGGAGTATGCCAAATTTCCCTGATAGTCTGTCCAGTCCTTACTTATATGGCCTGATCTGCTAAAATATCTTTCACCCAATATTATATTCTGCTGTTAATACTGATATTCCTCAATTTGATCATTAATCCTTCTTTCCACATCATATAATAGGCTTTTTACTATATATCTAATACTACAGCCAAGACACTTTCTTTATTAACCTGATCTTTTTTAATCTCATGTTGTGAACATAATGCAGGGTCCACATGACCTTACCCTTCTGAAACCATGTTAATATTTAGCCAAATATCCCTTAGTTTCAATAAAAAAATGTTAATCTTTCTTTTATCATTTTCTCCATAAATTTACACAAGCAGGATGTTTATTCAAATGGGCTGTAATTTACAGGATTAGTACAATCCTTCCCTAGTTTTAGAATCGGTACGATAGTCTCTTTCCAACTTTTAGGTAATTTCTCACATTCCCTCTCACTCTTTCTGCTGCATAAATAAAAACGTCATCAATAAATGTGTCACTTTTTCTTTTTCATTATACCACACCCCCAGTTAATGTGGTGCTGTTTGTAAAGTTACACAGTCAAAAATTACCACCAATATTTATGTTTTATTTAACTTTTTGTAAGAAAAAAAAACAGATTTATTTTTCAAAGTCAGTTTTTCACCATATGATTCATACATTTATAAATGTC